AAAATAAGAAGAGTGATAAAAAATTATTGCAGAGTATAGTCCTGAGACCTTCTCCTAGGAGCAGTTTTGAAAATTAGGAGGTAACCTGACACTAACAATATGTTAGTATAGTTAATCTTATTCTCATTACTTGTTGCACTAATTTTGAAGCAAGCTTAATAAATATCAAAGCTCAACTTAGTAAATATCTAAGCTCAGATTACTGGATATCAAAGCTCACCTTAGTAAAAGTATCTAAATTGTTTACTAGATATTTAAGCTCAGCTTACTAGATATCAATAGTAAACATATCTCAGCTTGCTAAATACCTTAACAATGAGCATCTATTGATGAATCATAGCAAGAGAGTTGTGTTAATGGTGATATTCTAAATGTACCTTAGGTGTAGCACAAAGCTATAAATATGGAGCACCCAATGAAGATCAAACTCACTATTCAGTTGTAATTGATGTAGCGAAATAAACTTGCTAACCATTACATCACATCAAGGTCCCCAAGAGTTGTCTTAATGTAGTGAATTCAGTCCTTAGTACTCCAGACTAAAATATAGTCATTTCCTACATTTGCATATCTTGAGGCACCAGGCTAATCTTTAAATATTTCCATTTTTTCTTATTGTAAATTAATTATTAGTGGTAATCCTTCACTTAAGTGGCATAAAATAAACTATTTCCTGCCTAGTGTAAAATCAATAAAACTAAGGTATATATATTTATTACAATTAAACATTATTACAACAGGTAATGGTGGACCATGCAGCAAATAAATGCTGAAAACACAAGATTTGTAGTGCATGGTCAACAAAATGCTGCTGGTAAATAATGTTATGAGAGTATATCCCATGGTTAATTTCCTCGATTCCAGCATAAGCAGACCATCCGATACAATATGTTGAATGTACTACACAAGTGTCACTTTCATAGTCTCTGCTTGCTGATCTGGTACCTCAACTTAGAAACACTTTCCCAAACCTGCTTAATACCACTGGATATCAAATGGTCCAGACACAATAATTGTCCATGGTGATATTTACAATAAAAAAAAAAACATTTAAAGATATAAAATGACAGTTTATTTTACACTGTTTAAGTGAAGTTTTAATATTAGGGTAGATTGAGTTCTGTAGTCTTGAGTGGCAAGAAAAGGAAAACTCTCAATTCAAAACCATGGAGAAGGCAACAATTAACTACTCCACTATCTTTCCCAATAATGCTTGGCAATTCAGAGATAATAAAAAATCTGTGGAGTGTCATGATTGCCTGTGTCCTGAAGGAACATGGCATTAGAAAAAAGACATCTTTGGAAAAAGCACAAATTTACTCCCCCTCCTATCTGTATCATGGGCAAGCATCTTGACAAAATATGATTACAGTATTATTTAAGTATCAGGTCACAATCACTAGATATAAAGGGCATTTATAGCACTAGAATTTTTTGCAGCACATTGATGTATGTTGAAATCCTTACAGTATCTAATATTGAAGTTATCGCTAACATTTTTGGTCAAGATTTACAAACTCTACATTTCATTCAATTTCGTAAGCCAATGAAATTTGAAGCTGATTTTTTAGGAAAAATACTTTGACAAAAACCATACTTCATGCTTTTTACACAACCTAGTAAAACCAACTATACTTTATGACCCCTTACCTGTTTGCACTTCTCCCAAAAATTTGATTTTGATCAGTTAAAATGTCTGACAGACAGACTAACAGAAGTCATAAAATTTTATATATAAATAGATAAGGCTCTCTTATATCCCTTTGTGCATGATTTATCTCAACCCTCAGGTAAAAATGTTAGGAAGTTCTTTCTAGACTCAAATCTTACATTTTTTTCTTTACCCACCCATTTATTCTTCTCAGTTTTCTTTTTTTTTTATGTCATGTATCTTCAGAATATAAGTGATCATGTCTCTCAACAGTTTCTTTTTAAAATATCTAATATGGTGAATTTCTAGGCATAGCTTAGATGTGACATAAGGCTGAATGTATGGGGCACCCAGTGAAGATCAAATTATTCAGTCATAACTGATTTAGCAAGACAAGCTTGTTAACCATGTTGAAGTATCTTACCTACAAATTTCTATGACTGTTCTTGGAAAATATCAAAGTGTTTTCCTGTTGCTTCTTCATGGGCTTTGAATTCAGAGTTGCCCTACGAACTGGTTACACTAGCAAGGTTCGAGAGACCAGTCTATTTACTCAGAGATGAGAGTGGGAGAGAAATGGATTCATGCCCTTTCATTGTGCATTAGCACAAAGAATGCAACAGCCTCAGCTGGAATTTGAGAACAGTCTACCAAGAACCAGTATGTCACTCACACATCTCAGGTTTTATTTGGCAGAAAACTTTATCTATTACAAAGAAACCCAAATTTTCTTTTTAGTTTTTATTTATTCTCTATTTTCTCTTCTTATGCAAGTCAGAATAACAGCACATTATTGAATATTACAGTTATTTAAATAAATAAACAATAATAAATATATAAACCTTTTTAAACTACAAAACATTAAACATCCTCTATCATCAAATTCAAAATATCACAGTACAAAAAAAAAAAAAAAAAGTCCATACCCACTTCTCAAAAGATTGAATAGCTAATAAATTATTATTTTTTTTTTTTTAATCATTTCACCCCAAGCAAGGCAATAAAGGTACTAGGACACCAGGGGTTACTGAGTATTAGAGAATATGATAGAAAAATATTATTGAGGAGAGAGAACAAAAAAAAGAACAAGAATTAAGAAGTCAGAAGATAATGATTGACATTGCATTTAAATTTTCAAAGATCAAAATTGACAAGAAAGCAAGAAGCCAGAAGAGAGTCCCATGAAGGAGAAGTGAAAGCGAAAAAACTGTTAGCATAGAACTTATGATTACATCTAGCCATTTCAACTGTAAAATGATGAGACCTAACTGCCAATCTAGTAATCTGCTTAAATTCATAAAGTCCAGGTACCACAGAGGAAAGTTCATCAGAACGATTACCGTGAAAGTATTTATAGAAAAGGCACAGGGAAGCTACATTATGGTGGTGAAAACGAAAAGTGACTGAAGCTGAGATACTTGGCCAGGACTAATAACATTGCAGATTCTTCTTGAGATTTTATCAAGAAACTCTCAGGAGCACCAAACCATATATGGCAGCAATATTCAAAGCATGGACAAATGGTAGACTTATGTTTTCCAAATTTTATTTGATGACAATTTATTAATTACAAAACAATTTTTTCTTTTCATACTATACTTGACGTCCTTAAAGTCAATAATAATACTATTTCTCGTCAACCATCACATTTAAAAAAAAATTTTTAGTTATTTTTTAAAATCATATCTTACAGCTACCATTAAATCTGGGGAAAGGAATAGCATCTTTGATCGTCTCTATTCCCAGTAAACACTGCAAATACCTTTCAAATCCCAAACCAAAACCACCGTGTTTTACTGTACCAAATCTTCGCAAATCAAGGTACCATTCATACTGCTTTCCCATTCTTAATTCCTCCAGTCTTTGCTGGAGAACGCAGTATCTTTCTTCTCTAATACTTCCACCAACAAGTTCACCAACTCCGGGGACGAGTAGGTCCACTGCAGCCGCTGTCCAGCCATCGTCGTTCGATCTGACATAGAAAGGTTTCAGATCACGAGGAAAATCATAAACAAAAACGGGTGAATTATCGAAGTGACGCACCAGAAATCTTTCGTGATCTTTTTTCAGATCGCTTCCCCAGCTGATTGGCGAATTGAAATTTATATTGTTTTTTAACAGTAAATTTACAGCTTCTGTGTAGGATACTTTTTGGTAACTACCCGTTGCCAACTTTCGAACAGCTTCCCTGTAATCGGACGGTATTTGCTTTTCAAAGAACTCTACATCGTCACTGTGTTTTTCGTAAATTTGCTTCGTGACAGATTTGACAAAGTCTTGAATAGAATCAATCAGATCATCGACACCATGATCTGCAAAGGCAATTTCTGCTTCGATCATGTAGAATTCAGAGAGGTGAAGTTTTCCCGTTGATTTCTCTGCACGGAAAGTGGGCCCAAAAGAATAACTTTTACGAAACGCACCACTGATAGCTTCCAAGTGCAGTTGACCAGATACAGTGAGAAAGGTATCTTGATTAAAGAACTTTTTCATATTGCATTCCTCATTTTTGTTCACAATGTCTTCGTGAGTGAATACTTGAAATACTTCGCCGGCCCCTTCACAATCCGAAGAGGTTAGGATTGGTGTGTGTACAAAGCAGTAACCATTATTTTGAAAATAATTGTGTACGGCGATTGATGCAGCATTTCTCATCCTCAATAAGGCTCCGAAATAGTTCGTCCGAGGACGCAAATGTAAATATTCTCTGACATAATCAAGCCTGTGTTTCTTTCTCGCTTTGAATGGATATTGAATAGGATCACAATCGCCAAGGACTCGTACTGACTTTGCCTCAACTTCTAATGCTTGCTTGTCGGTGGGACTCTTAGTAAGTATTCCTTCCGCGACCAAGCTGCATCCATAATTCACTTGGCTTCTCTCGAATAAATCAGCCTCGCAAACGATTTGGAGATGTTGACTACTGGATCCATCGGACACGTGCAGGAAGACATGATTTTTGTGCTTCCGCACAGCTCGAACCCATCCTGTTGCTAACACTGTAATTCCGTTTTCAGCATCTGTTACAGGTCGCTGTAGTATTTCCCGAATTGACTGATAGCCAGTAGAAAGATATCGCCATTGCTTAAATGGAGTTTTGAATGATTTTTTGATAAAACTGGAGAGTAATGTCCTTCGACACAGGGTTGTTATCGACATTTTGGTTGAGAGTTACTGCCCCTTGTGTAAATACCATCAGAGTTATCGGCCTTGACATCATGGCGGTATCAACCCGTCATCGTATTAAGTTGTTATTTTGTTAATAGTGCACCTTTTTTTTTCTCTGTTTATTCCGTCTCTCCACCTTAGACGCTTGGATATTTAAGTCTGCCCTTACAAGTAATATAACATGGCTGTGTCAAACGTCACCCCACAAGCAGAAGAGGGCAGCTATTATCTACAACTATGCAAGAATCCAATTCGTTTCGAGCTTGTCAGTAAAGCGACCAATGTTTTTTTCGATGACTCAAATAAACAGGTTTTGTATCATATATCTTTTTATTTTATTTTATACTTTTTAGGTATTTCGAATATTTTACAATTTTTTTTTTTTTTATAATTCTATATATATTTAACTTAGAATTTTCTTAATTTTAAGTTAAATAATAAATTACAGCCTTTTTCTTCAAGGAAGTAAGAACAACTACTAATTAATTTCGTAGTGCAATGCAACAAATGTTTGGGTGAGGTATTTTTTTTTTATACCAGAAAAGAGAGAAATATTTTCTTTTTTTTTTTTTTTTGTCTTTAAAATTTGGTGTTTTCAAGCGTACACGTATTGTGTAGTAGTGTCTGTGTACACATGAAAATTGAAAAAAAGTGTTTAAGATGCAAACACAGAATGAAAATAAAAATATTGACTCCTTTTTAAAGTAAAGGATGTAGTCAAGATTTTAAAACTAATAATTAAAGTTGTTTTAATTTAACATAAATTTAATTTTAAGACCTGTTTTAAAGTCCTAGCGATGGGAACTACCTGTTCATGTTTTGTATTAGAAGAGCATTGAATGAATGTTTTTTACAGTCAGTTATTGAAAAATAAATGCTAATCTAAAAATTAAAATACAAAATAAAACACTACTACTTTGGAATTTACCAAATTTCAATCCCAGGACAGCTTTTTTTTAGTGTTCGTTATCTAATACACGGCAATGTAATGATTTACCAGAGAATCATACAATTTTGAAAATATCAAACCAGGCAAGATTGAAATTAGTTGTATGTTTGATACTGTTATCTTGAATTTTTACCAAGAGTTAATCTTTCGTTTTAATTTAGATAATAGCTTGTTCAGATTTTTTAGCCATAGGTTACTTTCACTATCAGTTCTTTTCCAAAAAGCGTAAGTAGATAAGATTATTCAGCTAAATAGATCTTGTGCCTGACTTGAATTAAAAATTTCTATTTTCCTAAAATTGATAAGAGTATTTAGAAAAAGCTTTGAAAATCAATATCAGAGAAAAAAATTCGAATTTTTAAAATGTCAGCTTTTGAAAAAAGTTTTATTTTTAATTTTAACTATTTTTTGTCTTATTTTAGTTTAATTTTGCTACATTGTTCATGTTGCTTTTTTTACTCCAAGCAAGGCAATAAAGACACTAATATGCAAGGTGTTACTGAATATAAAAGCATATAAGAAAAATAAAAACATTAAGGAGAGAGAATAATAAAAGAACAGGAATTAAGATGGCATCACATTTAAATTTTTAAAGCTCAAAGTTGACTGGAAAGCAAAAAGTCAGAAGAAAGTTCCACAAGCAAGAAGTGTGAGAGAAGAAACTGTTAGCATAGAACTTATGGTTATGTCTAGCAATTTCAACTGTAATATGAGACCTAACTGCCAATCTAGTACTGCACTTAAATTTGTTTTATATCATTTTTGTTCAAATACATTCAACTATTGTTATTATTAAGAATTTTAATGTTTTCACTTTGAATAAATTTTTATTCATTTCAACCTGGAAAGAGATTTATGTTCAAATACCCTTGCCAAAGGTTTGAATTCATCTCTTCCCTCAGCTATGGGTTAAATAGTAAGACTTGTATCATGAAAAATTGTTATTCTCAAAAAAGTGTTAATGCAATATTTACTCTCAAAAAATATTCTTACAATCCAAAATATGTTTCAGCTTTAAATAATCAACAATGAGTTGATAAGCTGTAAAAAACAAATCAGTCAATCAATCCTGGAGACAGGCCTTGTTGGTTGACTTCAGTGTTTGAATTAATTCTAGCTATCTAAGTATACATTTTTGCACATACATACACACACACACACACACACACACACACACACACACACACATATATATATATATATATATATATATATATATATATATATATATATATATATATATATATATATAGATAGATTAACATAGTATCTATAAAAAAATGAATGTATTTTTACAGAGATATCAGCACTTCTGCCTTGGATCAAAGTATAGCATCCTTGTATTCTATAAAATGTGTTATACATGCACATTATTTCTGAAAGGATTTTTATCCAATTTTATTTCTTATTACTATAAATGCTATTAGTAAGACTTCTCAATTTAAGTTGGTTATTAAATTCACTGTTTAAGAAAATAAAAACCAGATGTCAGCTCAAACATGTGTACCCACTAAAAATAATGTTTATAATAATAAGCCCACACACACACACACACACACACACACACAAGGAAAATTAATGACAAAGTGAAAAAAATTTTTGTGAGGCATGGTTCATCCTTTAGTTTGATAGTAAAATAGGAAACTTCAGCAAAAGGGATTTTAAACTTATCTATTTTATTAAACATGTCGATGTGTACATCTTCTAACTAGCCAGTGTAGTTGCTATCCCATTCCACTGGGGAACAGTTTCCATACAGGAAAATAACATATCTACATTCATTGACATGTAAGTTCTTAACTCCTTGAAATCACTTTTTATCTCTCTAACATTCCCATGTTTGGCTCAGCCAATTAGAATCAACATCTCTATTTTGTCTACTATCTGTCCTTAAAGGTTAGCCTCAGAAGGTCTGAGACAAAATATACTGCCAGTAAAAATAATAGTTTGTAACTATTATTTAACATTTGTTAAAAAAATTGATTACATCAGATTATGTGCTTTCTGCCAGAAACTCTAAAGTTCGCTCAGCTTAGTTGCAATTTAAAACACACATGGACTCTGTGGGTTGCCTGTAATATGGATTTGCTAGCCGTCCTAGCAAATCAGTCTGCTTGAAAATGGTATTAGCTGGAGATATATATATGAGGTCTAATCAAAAAGTGTCAAGACTAGTGCTATAAAAAAAAACTACAGCACATATCAATTTGACATTTAATCTCCTGCAAAATAGTTTCCTTCTGAAGCCACTGACTTTATCCAATCGAACCTGAAGAATGTTGTGTTTGGCCAAAAGCTGCTACACAAGCCATTGTCACTGATTGAACAACTGTGGTGTGGTGAGACTACTACACTCTACACACTTTCCTTCAAAGCACTGCTATAAACAATAGAAGTGTGTGAGAACATTATAACAGTGTGTATAGAGTTCAAGGTCAATCTGAGCCAAGTGATTTCATGCTGTGAACTTTAGCTCCATTACCATAGCAATAGTCACAATACTTTTTGATTAGACCTCATATAAAGGAATCAATGGATTTTTTTTATCTGACATTATTTCTATTACTCAATGTGTTTGAATAAGAAATAAAGTAACAAAAAATTCTATTGTTTCCTTAGAAATTGCTTTTACATTTTGGATATGAAAAAATGGGCTGATATAGGCTTTTAAGATCTGAATGAGAACTTCAATAGAGTCATTGAACATTACTGGGCTGTGATACTCTCTGTGGCTGAGTGGTCTAAATTATTCCAGATCAGACTGTTGCTTCTTCTACAAAGGAGGCTGCAGGTTCAAAACCTGCTGGAGAACATTTTTTCTTTTCTTTAAGTCTCAAATGCACAGGCTGTAGACATAATTCCCGTCTTTTTTTTTTTTTTAAAAAAATGCAAAAAGAAACAGTTACTCAAACATCATACCCACAAAAATAATAAAATAATATATAAAATTTGTTACTTAGCTGATTGATGTTATTAAAGACAACAGAAATTTTGGCTTGATTATATTTACTTCAACTTTTGTAAATTCTGAAGGACCCTTCTCAGACAAGGAGGAAATTCTGTCAGAAATTGACCAAAGTTCATTTTGGAAGAAAAGAAATAAAATCTCTCTTACCCTGATGATGACTTAAAAAAGCTTGGAGCATATTTTTTATACTTTTCTATTAAATGAATTAAACATTATGTTTTAAAATAATAAAATGAATTTAAGAACATTTACAAGGATAATTGAACCCAGAATTAACTATTAAAATTGAGCAAAACCAAGGTTGCCAACCCTATTCTCTTCCCACTGATAAGACAATATGATTAATGTATTGCCTGAATTTCTTAGATCCTGAGAAATTAAAATTTGGTAGTTTACACTACGCTGTCTGTTCAGAATGTTTGTCTTCTTACAAATTATGTTAGACAATGAATGAAGCATCTGGATTGTGTAAATCCCCAACATTGAGATGTGTTTATGTTGACTGCTCCAGAACACAATTATTTTTGCAGAAAGATACCTTGGAAGATTCTAAAGTAAACAAAAGAAGTACCATATGGTTTATTATTATATATTTTTTTTTTTTTAATAAAGTCTCTTAAGATTAAGATAGTCCAGTGGAGAAATTAGATATATCAATGTCAAATTTTGGAAGGGGAATTTTCTATATAAACAATAGCCCAACCCCGTTCCACACCGAAAGGCAGATGGGAAATTGGCTCCAACAAGGAAGATCATCAGTATTCACTGAGTTTAGGGCAAAGATACAGTCGAAGCTCAGGCCCATGAGAAGTTAGCTCAGAGTGGCCCGAGATTGCTCATAAGACAGCCGTTGCTAAAGAGCACATGTGCAATTCCCAGGTCAGAGTGAAAACACAGACATGCATGACAGAAGAATTGAGGAAGATTTGACTGACTGGTTATTATTTAGCATATATAATTAGAATTTCTAAATCACCATTCCTGCAGTAGAAAACTTGATTTTGCAGTAAATAATAGATATTTTATTCAACCATTTTTTTTCTTTACATCCAATAATACTGCTGTTAAAGTTATCAGCAGTGTTGTGAATTTTATTAAATGAGTTCTTATTCCAGCCTGATTCTCTCATGTGCTTGGTCATAAAGAGACAAAAGTTTACCAAAGTCACAGAAATTACACAGCCTTGTCTGGAGTACACAATGTGCCTAGAGAGATTCATACTAGACTTCACCATTGTTATACTAGAACATACCTATTCTATTGTAAATAGACTCTCCCACAGATAATAAGTAGTAGTAGTAGTAGTAGCAGTCGCCAGGGGGAGCTCAGTGAGTTGGTGAGTCAGTTGATGTCAGACATTAAAGTATCAACCACCACAACTAGATTGCTGCATCATTAACTATTATTTCAAGTTCCTAACGTTTTGTACGTCAAACCTTTTTTAGGACCGACTCAGTGAAATACAAGCCTCCACTGTGAAAACTATTCTACAACAACCATCAATCCCAATATTGTAGGATTTTTGGAAATTCGAATCAACCCTATCAAGTTGACACACCGGACCCCAACTGAGGCAGGAAAAGAAATCTAGATGACCCATAGGGTTGGTATTACTCAGCAAAGCTAGCAACTAGTGTCCAAGAAGAAGAGACGAGACTGAGCTTGGAACCAGGGAAGCATGGAGGGTGAGGTGATAGGTGTTGTGAAACACGTCAACAATAAAGGGTAGACTGTGTATATGTTAAGGGTTAAACTTGTATCACTAAACTATTGTTATTTCAACAAAATAAATTGCATACAAAATATTAAAATTTTGGCATTAAATAACCCATAGAGGTGTTGATATGTCATTAAGCAAAAACAACCAACCAACCACTCAATATTTTAACTTTCTGGTCTATTGTCAGGGTTCAGTTCAAAATTCCCTGAAGATTACCCATATTAACAGACACCTAAAGAAATCTGGAGAGCACAATGGCCGAATCATTGTGATAATAACAATGATATTACTCCAATTGTAAATAATAATAACTCCTTATCCCAGAAATTCAGACAGAAGGTTATTAGATGATATTAACAACAAAGATAGATGATGTTGGCCTGAATGTAAATAATGATAACTCTTCATACCTGAAATTCAGACAAGAATATTTTTCCCTGATTGAAACTTTTAGTATTTCTAATCTGTTCATTTAAAAAAAAAAAATTCAGCTGTTTGTTTATTTATTTGTTTTCAGGTGTTTGCAGTGCGAGCAGGTGGCACTACAGGTGTGGTGGTGAAGGGACCAGATGAAAAAACAAACTTAACATTCAGGTAATAAACTAAAGTTTAATATTTGTGTAACTTCATGCTATCAGCAATGTTGCTGGTGGGCAAAGTTTAACTTAACTGCGCCTGTGTAATTTGAAGTTATCTATTTTCTTAAATTTATGCTAATGTTTTTTCTAATTACAGAATCATTCTAACATGAAAAGTGGGAACGTTTATACAAAATGTTGCTCAAAACTCCTGTGAATTTGAACAGTTTAATCAATCTGTTGATCTGTAAACTTGTCATTTCACATATTTGTTGAAATCACTCCATTAGAAAAAAAAACCTCATTGGCTAAAATTTTTCTTTCTTTGTGGAAGTTAATTTGTTTCTTGAAATTTTGGGTAAATCTTTATGTGCGTGAGATTTTATATCTATATACACTAGGTACCTCCACTTTTTTACTGAAAAAACAGCATAGCATGTTATTAAAAACAAAGTTCTATTGTCAAAATATTTGTTATTATTAAGAGAAAAGGCACAAGTATTTTTTTTTATTGTTTTATTAAATTTTTAATCCTTTCTAGCATATTTGAAATTTTGCTTGAAAATCTTGTTTTTTTTTTGTTTTTTTTTTTTGTCAGCAGTCAATATATTATTTAGTGTTTTAACACTTTTTTTTCCAGGTGAAAAACACATTGATTTGTAAATTCTTGCAAAAATCAAATAATTGTCTGATTTCAATGAAACCCTCAGTACATATTCACAAATGAATGAAATTATTTAAAAAGAATTTTTCAGCAAATCTTGGTAAAAAAAAATTTTTTTTTTTTTTAAACATGTTACACCCCCCAACCACCCCCACCACCACATACTTAATTTTATGAAATTTCAAGAAATTAAATTTTTATCCGAAAATCTTTTCTATTATTTAAAAGCATGACTCCTTGACTTATCAATTTTTTTTTTTCAAACTACAACTCATTTCTTGAATCTGCTGCAAATTGAAAAATAAACAATGCAATAAAACTTTAACATTATTTAATTAGAAAAGCTTTTAATTGCTTTTATAAATAAGATTTATTAAGGACACTATTCTCTTAAGAAAACATTTTTTATAAATTGTGAATTTTTACAAGAATTGTTTTAATTTTTTAAAAATTTTAATGATAATAATTTATAATATATAAATCTTTTAAAAATTTGCATTTCTTTCATTCAGTTAAGTGATATTGTTATTAAGTAAAAACTATATTTACAAATCACTGATAGTTTTCATTCTCCCATTTGGATGTGAAACATGGACTCTGTTAGCAGAAATAGAGAGAAGGATCCAAGCATTTGAGAACAAATGTATGAGAAAACTCTTTGGCATCTTCTATTGGGAACGTAAAAACATTGAGTATGTGTGGAAAAGGGTTGAAAGTTTTGTGGGCCACTAGGAACTTTTTCTAACCATGGCATGGTTTGGATACATTACAAGGCATGACAGCCTGTGTAAGGCATCATTGAATGTGGATGTAGGCGAGGATTCTAACATAAAAACTGGTTGGATGATGTCAAACTATGGATAGGTATGACTATACCAGAATTGCTGATGGCTGCTGTTGATAGACCGCTGTGGAGGACATTTAGTGTGTCTTCTGCATTTGGACCCCCCCCCAATGATTACGAAAGTCAAAGGGATGATGATGATGATATTTACTGATCAAAAATTGAAAAGCTTAATATAAATCATTTTGCATCAAAATTTTTTGAATATTTTCTAATTTTTTTTATGCGTATAAATTACATAATGTACCTATTTTTGAAAGTATGGTTGACCATACACAACATTATCAGAAAATAAGAGTGATGACTATAGTAAATTTAAAGTCAACATTCTTAAAATTAGATGATGGAGAATATTTCCCAACATTTTTTAGATTACTGAGTACTTAAAGCTTATGTAAAAAGAAGAAAAAAAAAGACACTCCTGTCATTTTCTTAAATTATGTTTTAAATTCTCCATAGAACAACAATCATTATGTCAAAACATATCAGTGTCTTGTCAATTACATAAAACATGGTGATATTGGTTAAAAACAGCTACTGTTTTATTTTAAGAAACATTTCTGTGTTATTTTAAAATTAAATAATATTTTTTTCAAATCAGTTTAATTATACTTTTAATCAGCTAATATTCCTCAAATAAAGTTTCAGAAAAGTATGTTTTATTTTTGGAAGTTTTTTTTAATTCAAAGATTTAAATTGAGATAAAAGATTTGAGACTGCTTTTTCATTTATAAAAATTCATTTTAAACCATACATATCGAAAATTAGTGGAGGTACTTAAATACACATTTGCAGATATATTTTTAGGCATGTATTTATATATGAATTTACACAACGCTTAATTAAAAATGATATTCAGATAGAATTTCTCTCAAGTGCAATGGTCAGAGTAGGTGTTATTTCCCTTGATTTGTATATGAAAATGTTTTTTATATACATTTATAAAAATTTTGCTATTCGACCAATGAGGTATGTCTGTTTACTTTTCTATTATATTTTTTTATATTTTTGAATATTAGTTGCACACTCGGATTAAAATTTTAATTGAAGACCATGATTTCGATTTAAAAAAAAAAAATGCTACTTTACTTAAAAGAGAAAGCAATTTACTAAGACGAAATCATTAGATCATCCACAGTAAATTTGCATTCAAATTCTTTCAACATTTCACCTTTCTTGGCAGATCTTCTGTTAATCACTATGTAGGTTATTTAATAACAAAAGCATTAAACACCAAAAGAAACTAAACGAAATTGGCCAGATTTACCCAAACATCTAAAGAAAAAAAAATATCTGAACATTTAAAAATACCTCCTCCACATCATGCGCATTTGTAATTACATCATCAGAAACTTCACTTTAGTCGACTGAAGTCCCAATTGGAAAACATGTCACACAAAAAGTTTTTCCTACTTTCTTATTAATTTTCCTAACATTGCTCTGGTATATAAAAATTTATATATCATCTCCTCCCATATATATATATATCTATATCATCTCCTCCCATATATATATATATATATATATATAAAATACCAACTATGATAAAACTGACAATGTAAGGTGAATGAATGATCATCAAGCCAGGTTCAATCTTTTTATCTTTTTTTCCTTGTTTTCTTTTACTACATTGCCTAGGAGGCCCTGTAGTTCTTTGTGTTTTCTTTACTTGAGTTATTTATTTAATCTACTTTCTAGGTTTGTCGAAAATCCATCGAGGACTCTTTATCATACAATTTAAAGATCGATACATATTAGCAGCAACTTGGTTCCAAGAAATGCTTGAAAGAAATCTATTGTGTCAAGGGGCTCCACTCTTGGTTTTTTTTTTTTTCCGGGTTGTCTCCCTTTGTTTTCTAATACATTTAGAAACTATTCTGCTATTTTACTCATAGCTAATGAGAGATTGAAGATTTATAACTTTCCAAAATTTTCATCATCAAAATATGAACTTAGTTCACAGATTCTATTTTCCATACTGTTAGTCACAAAGCCATTTGCTCTTCTATATTTATAATAATTTTATATAAGCGATTTTTAAAAAAAAGTATCTATTTCAATTCAGAAAATACATGACAAAGATGCATAAAGTTATGAAACCCAGTTTAGAAACCATTGTCTTATATATATATATATATATAAACATTAATTTCAGTAAATATTGTATATTTTTATATAGGTTTTCTTAATGTTGTAGTTACTGAATCTTCTTTATAGAACTATTGGGCAAATGAATGATAAAATGGAGAAAATCCTGTGTAACACTCTAGAAGGGCTTCATGGGACGAAAACATGTTAAACAGAATTTTTCTACTATGTCATTCATTTGCCTAACATTGTTCTGATATATAGAAATTTATATCTCATATCCTCCTGGAAAGGACTGTTTCATTTTTTTTTTTTTTTTTTTTTTTTAATCATTTCACCCCAAGCAAGATAATAAAGCCACTATGGTACAAGGATTTAGAGAATACAAGAAAAACTACTATTAAGGAGGGAGGACAATAAAAGAACAAGAACTAAGAAGACAGAAGATAACAACTGACATTGCATTTAAACATTTGAGGATCAAAGTTGGCTGGGAAGCAAGAAGCAAGTACAGAGTTCAACAAGCAAAGAATGCGATAGAAGAAACACTTAGCATTTTCTTTCTTTCCTAGTTTGTGATACTCCAACTCCTCACCTATCCATTAGTGATTCTGAAATCTTTCAACTTTATAAAATTTTCTGATGCAATCAATATAGATCAGAAATAAAGCTATGGTCTCCAATTGAGCATTGGCATAAAAAGCAACAAAAATAAGATAAAAAGATTTATGTTGATTTAATTTTTAAGTCCAAAGGCCATTGTATAATACAGACTTGTAACTGACATTAATAATAATTAAATGATATATATATATATATATATATATATATATATTCTCCTTTTTTTTCTTTTTTTTTTTTAGGATGGAGGATAGGGGTGAAGTAATATCCATCAAATTTTCTCCTGACCACAGAATTCTCGGCATACAACGATGTCTTAAGTCTGTAGTAAGTATTTGCTATTTGTGTCTGTACACACTTGAATGTGCCAATATAACCAGATAAATCACAAGGTTCTGTTGTATGTTTCCATTAAAAAAGAACAAAAATATTACAAAAAGAACTTTCAAGACAAGATATATACTCACGGAATGTGAAGGGATATATTAGCCAAAAACTTATGTTAATACCAGCAAAGATGAAGATAATAGTTTGAATAAAAATGGAATAAAGCAGGGTTTTCCAACTTGGGCGATATCACCCACCAGCGGGCAATTTCAACTGTTGGATGGGCAATGAGCAACTGAACAGAAAATGGTGGGTGATATAGGATTTTGAGTATTAAAAAGGTATTTCAACATATGCTACCCCCAAAAATATTCAAGGGAGATATGCAAATAACCTGTATAAAAAAAAGAACAGTAGGCTAAATAGAAATAACTGGGTCTAATTCCTAGGCATAAATATCCCTGCAAACAAGGAATGTTTCAATATTTCCTATTGTTTTGTGAAGGGGTCATTAACATTCAAATAGTTCTTCAGACAAAATAACTTTTTTTTTTTTTTTTTTTTTTTTTGGATATAAATCAGATAAAGGAAGACTGAGAACAACTTTGCCAGTGAAATTAAGAATTGACCTCAAGATAATTTATATTTAATATAAAATTGTTTTTACATTTTTTTTTTTTTATCACATTAGCCATCTCGAATTTATCGTGGTAGGAAAAATGGCTGTCAAAACATAATTTACTCATCACTGTATGCTTTTGAATATTTACTATACAGGTAGGGAGTGGAAAATGTGTTAATGTGAAAGTGTGCAATGATGCAAAAAGGATGGGAAACCCTGGAATAGAGAAAAAGAGTCCTTTACTTTGTTTATTAATCATCCTATTATTATAATTGTGCTTGTGCCTCCCTTTGTTCGTTCGCAAGACCGTTATGCCCTGCCAATACCTCATAAATAATGGACTATTCTGTTTTGATCATGTGGAAAAAGGGAAAAGACACTACTTGTTTTCAGTGAGAAAAAGAAATAAAGAAGGAAAGATAGAAGTGAAGAGAGAGAGAGAATCAGATTAAGCTGATAAAAACAGATACTACACACTGATCTTAGCCCAAAAGCCAAGAAATGACCGTATTGAAAGTGCCATTTTTCAAATGCACAATATCGAACAATGGAAACTAAATAAGGCCACTGCCAAAAATTCAGTTACCATAAATAAAATAAGATCGTTCAGAATTATTTTAAGGGAAATGTTTGTAAGTCAGGTATTTGGCTAGTATAATTGTGTAGGGAATAAGCATTCCAAATGGTGATGTTAATTCACTTTTATCAGTTGTTTCAAGCAGTTATTGTTTAGAATTTAGATTATCATTTCCATAATATACTGTAACACTATAGCTTCATCAATTGCAATCACAACAACCAAATGTAATACAATAGGTGATAGATACATGTTCTGGCTACTGACTTGGCAATGACTCCTCTGCCCACATTGTGTTTAGAAAATCTGAAGAAATTACAAATTCAAGCTATCTGCATTTTACTAAAATCTAAAGTTGACAGATTCCCCAGATTAACCAAAATCATGAACTACCTTAACAAGATTCTAAGAGTTTATTTTACCTATTAGTTACATAAATATTTTAACTACCATCTTTCTTTCCCTTTACTAAAACTTGGCAGCAATTATACAGTGAGTCTGGCAGCTTTAACAGACTTCTGCTGTTTCTTCTTTCCAACAACATGAATCAATTCTACCAAAGTGTGAAGCACACACATGTATATGGAAAGTAATGCACTAGTTTGTCATCAATGATTTATTGACATAATTTGACCATTAATTTACAAAAAAAAATCTTCCTTGTATTAATCTCTTCCATCTTTAAATTGTAGGAATTCATAAATTTTTCCCATGATATGGTGCCAGATAATTTAGAGTATTCACAGACCTGCAAGGTAAGTTTTTTAATCATTTATTTATTAATAATTTCAAATTACCTGGAGTTGAAAAACTGGAGCAGGGTGTACTTTCTCTTTCTTTTTTTTTCTTACTTGTTAGGTATTTTTTAATAATCATGTTGTGTATAAAATGTGAAATTATTCCAGTAGAATAGTTAAGTGTTCTTTGAAAAATGTTCCTTGTATATATATTTAACCTTATTGTACTTGATTCAAAAGTTCTATTATAGGATTTTCGGTTTTTAATTTTTTTTTTATTCTCAACAATAAATCGCTAAAGACAACAAAGGTTAAAAAGAAAAACTGGCCAAAAATGTACCAGCTTCAGAAAGTATTTTGGTAGTTTATAGTATTTTAAATAGCCCTTTTGAGAGAGTAAACAAAGTGTTTAAAATAGCCCATTGGGCACAGTAAACAGTGGTGACGTCAGTTTTCTTAGTAAGTTGGTTAGTATTTTATTCAAATAATTTTGTTCTGCTAACAAAATAAAAAAGTAAGCTATATTGATCTCTGAAAATGATAGATTAACAATTTTACTTGCATTTAATCAATAAAATTATTAAAAACACATGCTACACTTAATAGTTTGTGATATTTTATTTTACATCAAGTTCATTGAAGTGATGATGAATCAGTTTCTTTCTTTCATGTGTGGATGTGTATGCAAAAATAATTTCAATAATGTTTAAAGTGGTTGATTGTCATCAAGCTCTATGATGACCTTCTTTTAAGACATTGAAACAGCAAATAAACCAATAATCACTACCACTTACGAAAGATTTTGTACTGAGGCCAATGTATTCAAATGAAATCTTCACAGAACCTTCCAATTTTATGTTTATGCTTCAACAAATTCTTAGTGATTGAAATAAATAATCTTCATTTTTATCATGATTGCAAATCCTATAAAATCCCTTACGGTCATAGGTGCACCACATCTACTGCAGCAGGTGTGTTTTTTGGACAAGACTGCCTGACAGAGTCCAACCCTTTCCAAGCAGATTCGAATTCAGAGTTTTCCTTCTCCTAGATTTGTTGCCATCCAAGGTTATAGGGATATATTTTTAAATACCGGAACAATGCCAGGAATTCCAATGACAAAGTGGAAAATCTTTTTCGTGTGATGCTTTTCATCCTTTAGGAATTCTTTGAAATACATCAAATGAAAATCTTTTTTCACTTTCTCATTGATTTTTCTAAAGTAATGGTTGATATATAATTGAATAAAACATAATTGTACTTTTATAATAAAGTTAATAAACAAATATGGTAGTTTCTTATGAATCAACTTAATACTTGTTTTAGTGGTTTGTTGCTTATTTATATAATGATAATTTCTGGGTGTATTTGTTTAATGTTCACCAACACGAATTCCATAAGCTGTTAGGGTTGTAGTGGCCCCACACCTACTGCCACCATAGCAACAGAGGTATTTTTTGGGCAAGACAGCTTGACAGAGCCCAACCTTCTCCAGGCTGGTTCAAATCCAGTTTTCTTTCTCTTACAAATAAGGCTATAGGGTCAAATCAATCTTACTATTTACCCATAGCTGGGGGAAAGTGATGGATTCATACCTTTCCCAAGGATATTAGCACATAAATGAATGTAATGAATTTGAATTTGGCTTGCTGATTCCTCAACCTGAGCCATTATCCATTACTCCACTGTGCCTCCAGCCTAGATTTTCTAAAACATCTATATAAAAACAGATTATAATATATAGAAATAATTATATGTAAAAATCTCAAAAAGCATTTTATTACAATATAATAAACATTTCAACGATAATTCAAAAGAAGAGTTTGTGATATTTTTCTTTTTGTTTATATCATCTTACAGAGTAAATCCACGCAAATCCGCGGGTTTTGTTGGTGCAACTGCAATGAGATTGTCTTCATCACAGATCAGGCGGTGGAGTTTTATCAGGTATAGTAAGGGATTGTTTGATTAATTATCATATTTGTGTCTTTTTTGAAATTGCCTATTTAGGCATGTAAATAAAGATGCTTCTTTTTGTAATTTCTGTCTGAATTGCCAAGACATGAGACATTATCCTTATTTACAGTTGTACTAATGTCCTCCTCATCTTAATTATTACCACATTTCAGTCATCATACCCTCAGGCCTTCAGTTCTTCTGAGAAGTACTAAAAAAAATGAAGAAGACAAGATATATAGACAGTAGAACGAGAACAAGCTATCCATGTTGATTAAATAAAGGGTTCAGTCCAAAATTCCTGGATCAACAGACGCCTGAAGAAAGACATTGATCTGAGTGTAAACCAATGTAACTTTTTGTTATGCCTACAAATGCTTAAGTCAAAAAAATATTGTAATTCTAAAATAAAAATATTAATTACTCTGAATTTGGCAAAACAAAACAAAAAAAATGAAACTTATCATGAGAAGGTATTGGTGGTGTGACAGCTAACAGCATAAAGAATGGTTTGAACTCCAGCTGGTAAAAGTTATTTACTCACTATATAGTAGTAATTATCTCCTACACTAGCTCATTAAGCATTATCCTAGTCAGTGATACTAGACAATCTCCTCGTAAAGAGAAGTTTTGATGCAGCTGAGATGTGGCTCCTACAGAAGGATGCTGAGAATACCATGGACTGAATATATGAACAACATGGAAATTTTGAAGATAATGGAAACAAAAAGAACACTTAGAATCTGAAAGAGACAGTTGAATTTTCTAGGACCTTTAATGAGGAAAGAGGGCTTGGTTAACTTGACACTCACAGGACATTGAAACCAAGAAGAGCAGAAGTAAACAGCCCATAATCTACCTTTCAGTTAGCCTGAAGTATATTTATGAGTGTTCTTAAATTTAAAAATTTTAAAAGACTAATGACACTACTACTATTGTTTATAAATACTTGTTGCAAAATAAAATCCTTACATTAAAGTCTATCAGAGGACAAAATGCATCAACTAAGATAAGTTTTCCTTTTGCCTTTATTCATATTGTCATTTTAAAGATATGTTTTTAGTTATATCTGAATTTCTGCACACACACACACATATATATATATATATATATATATATATATATATATAAATTGACTGATTTAAAATGTTTTTTTTTTCGCTACACAGTTCTAACCATGTTTCAAAAATGGAAGCTAAAAGCTTCAAATTTAATTTTGTAATTAAATTAAAGACATTAGTTCCATTTCATCCTCAAGCGAATTTTGGAGTCACTTGAGGTTGAAATGGAACTAATGTCTTTAATTTAATTACAAAATTGAATTTGAAGCTTTTAGCATCCATTTTTGAAACATGGTTAGAACTGTGTAGCGAAAAAAAACCATAATTTAAATCAGTTAATTTATAATATTAATGCTCTGTAAATTTACATTGAGCACTATTTTGTAAAAATAAAAATATCTATAAGAACACCAGATTATATATCTTACTGTTCTTTCTTTTTATTTATATATATATAGATACATACATGCACACACACACACACACACACACACACATACTCAAACAGGTTTGGTTGAATAATTCAGACATATGTTGATTAGTTTACGTTGTGATCTTTTCAAGTTCGCAGATTCATTTCTTGGTAGCCTTAGAAAATTGATTAAGAAAAATACCAAAATTTTCTTTCAAATAGTTTTTATTTTCCCAAGTGCTTTCGATCAACTTTACGGGGGATAAGTTGTATGTGTTTTTGTAAATTCAAAACATTTCAACTGTTTATTTTTACTGCTTATGCAGCATTCTAGAGTTCAAAGTTCACATGTTTTGGGGGTTTTTTTTTTTTTTTTTTCCTAGTATAAGGGAAGTAACTTTTCCATTTTCTCATACATATATAATTTTTTTTTTTATAAGCATTAATATGATATGTCTAAATTATTCAACCAAACTTATTTGAATGAAAATATGCTGCGAAATATACACACACACACATATATATATATATATATATATATATATATATATATATATATATATATATATATATAATAATGAAAAAACAGACCACTTTAAGGTACCATTACAATAATTTATTTCACCAAAATCCTTTTTAAAGGACTCCGGATCATATATATAATTAGTACAAATATAAAATTTTTCACTTAGCTGATTGGTATTACCTTCAGCATCCCAACTCTCGAGTTTCATAGACAGGTCCTCAAGCAATCACTCTGTCTACTCTCCAGAGGATGAGGTGTGCTAAAATGTTCTCAGTTCAACCAAGATTCCCTTCCAAACAATCTCATGTTTGGTCATATTTTGAGAAGTGGGTCAAGCTAAGAACATTTCAGCACCTCCATCATTTGAGTATATTCTTTCATCTTGGGCTTTAAGGGCTTATGTTTTTTAGATAAACACTTTGGCAACCATTGTTGTATCTTTCACTTCTGACTTTGGAGTGAATAATAGATATTCAACTTTAAACTAAGGACAACCACAAATTGTGCAAAAGAAGTTTTCAGATCTGTGAAATATTGGTGAATAATGGCACATAAACAGTAGCTGCCAAGATAAAGTGGAAAGCAATAGCAAAAGTGCAGGTTGTCTTAGAAAGACTGCAGACTTAAAAAAAAAAAAAATTGATACAGTAAAGTTGGTTTGCTAGCAAACTGAAATTGTTTCCCTTCCTCTTGCATACTAGATCTGGGTGAAATTTTCATGTCATCAAAAGTCTAGGTTGGTTTAAGAAAAATTCCTTTGACATTTATTCTTTTCATGAAATTGTTGACTGAAACTCATTTGGTAAAAGAATACTAATATAGGTAAAATTTGTTTTCTTTTCTTATTTAATGAGATCCTGCCAGATTGGTAGCTTATCTTTCCTTTGACTTAGGTCTAACAGCTTAGTGGAGAAAGAACTGGCTGGTTATATTTCAGTTATGTGCCATGCGTGATACACACTTAGGCGATCATATCTTTTGATACATGACTGATGAGGCAGATTTTTTCCTGCAGTAGGTTGCCATTTCTTTCTGTGGTAGACCAGTTGACATCCAAGGCTATTGAACCCAGCCTGTCCTGCTATTTACCTATAGCTGGAGGGAGAAAAAGAGGATTCATACCTTTCCCAAGGGTATTAGCATGTAAGTGAATGTAATGGATTTGACTAGAATTCGAACTAGGCTTTCTGATTCTTCAATCCAAGCCATTGTTCATTACTCCGCAGGGCCTCAAAAACCAAACTAGTGATATTACATCATTGCCAATCAGATCCAAAAATATCACCAGTCCCGATGAATTGATGTTCCCTCAGGATGGCACCATGCCTTGAATGCCTATTGAGACAAAATCAATTCAGACCTCAAATAGAGATGATCCATCACTAAAGAGGCTAGAAAAATGTTCAGTTCCTTGTACGACTCTAGTAAGTACCTGACTCCTCTTACTGTCCTCTATCTTTACAAGAGCCAGATTAGGCTGAAAATGGACTATTGCTGCTATATATTGGCAGGAGAGACCCAGTCTTCACTTTCCAGTTTCAATAGAGTCCAAAAGCATCTCTGCTCCCTTGTGTGTGACAAATTATTTTCCATCCTACGACCCCTTTCCTCACAGACGAAATGTTGCAAGCCTTTCACTATTTCTGTGGAAAGTGCTCAGACGAACTACATTCCTTTGTTCCACCAGTTCTTACCTGCACGGCAAAGACCTGCCATTCTGCACACATTGTAGCAAACCATTCACAATTCTTTCATATTCCATTGGTAACATGTAAGCTCCAATTGAGCAGCTTCTTCCCATGAACTGCTGCTCTGTGGAACCAACTCCCAAGAGGATGCTTCCTCAATCATTGCAATCTTAACCTGTTCAAGTCTAGGGTTAACTGTTATCTTCACCAAATATCTGCATAAACTATGCTTCTTACTCTGGAATCCTTTACCTCAAGTGGTTTAGTACAGGGTGAACATCATAGTAAAAAAAAAAAAAAATCTCGACATGAAGATTAAATGTTATGTAAGAAATTCTATTTATTTAAATATCAGTTATTTGTTTTTGTTTCTTTTGCAGATATCTCCTGAAAAGAAATCTTTAAAATGCTTGAAAACTTTTTCTCTTTCCATTAACTGGTTTGTATGGCTGGTAGGTACAAAGTTACATAATTTATGTTTTTTTTTTTTTTTTTTTTTTTTTGATAATATTATCCTAAATCCAAAATTGCCTATAGTGAGTGTAATTCCTGTAATATTTGCTGAAATCATCTCAGACTAGCAAAACTGATGTAATCATAATTAAGAAAATAATAATAATAAAGAAATTATATTATGTACTTTTGAATTCATAGAAATAATTGTTATTGGTATGTCTCAGATCAGCTTAATGTAAACTCAAAGAAAAATATATAAATAAAAATCTAAGCAAATTTCTCTTACATTGTACTTTTCTCATTTTAATAAAATTACTCCAAACATTTTCATAGAATTTCTATATAATAAAAGCAAATTCTTATTAAACAATTCCAGATAGAGAATCAAAAACCAAATTGATATTTGAATCACTAAGAATCAGTTTTGCTTTATATTATCTTTTAGGAAGCCATTTTGTACCTTAATTACCTGAAATTTTGAGCAGCATCTAATGTTTTGATACCAATCAAGAATTTGAAAAAAAAAATAATATGCGAATTCTGTTAAAATGCTCAAGCCCAGACACTTTTCTATTAAATAAAAAAAAATTCTGTGTATTCCTCTTTCAATTTATTGATGTTAAATGTTTAATTGTAATCTAAAGTTTTTAATTTTATTTTAACTTTCAGCCCATCAACTGTGTTCTTTTAGTTTCTTCAGGAACTATTGGAAATACGCTAAATCCATTTTTGTTTAAGGTATGTAATTTTTTTTAATACTAAAGTATGGCTGTCACACTTATTGCTTTTTTTTTTATAACCACTCTTTTGAAATGTAGCAATTTATTCAAAATAGAAAATTATTGGATCATTTCTGATGCAAAAATACCTTCACTTTTAACAAACAATGAAAATGATGACCAAGTTACTACAACAACCAACAAATTTTAATGCAACTACCTACTTTATTCTGTAGGTAACCTGCTGCCTTGCAGATTAAGTGCAATACATGTACACATCAATAAACATGTATCCATTGGCAATAAGGTCTGGCTTACAGTCACAACATGTTGAAACACCAAGTCCCATACAATCACTAAAGTTAAACCATATCCAGCCTGGGCAGTACTTAGATGGGAACATCAGGTGCTGTAAACTTGGATGTGCAGTTGGTGTAATGGATAATGGCTGAGAATTGTTAATTAGTGAGCCAAGGTACAATTCCTGTTGGGTTTTTTATATTCATTTACACACAAATACCATTGGGAGAAGTATGAATCCACTTCCCCCCAGCTATGGAGTAATTAGTAAGACTTGTATCACTAAACCATTATTATCTTCCCGTCATGTTTTCTGGCTTTTAATAACTGGCAAGGGGTTGATAAGCTGTAAAAAAAAATAAATCAATCGATCAATCAAAGCAATAAGTTCTTCACCAACATAAGACTTGTAAACAACAAAAATATACTATAGATATTAAACTGTAAAAAAAGACTACAGAGATTAGAATCTTTAAGATCAATACATTCAGCTGATGAAGAATCTTGTTTGAGAGTGTTGCAGACGTTTGGTGGTTGTGTTTAAGGTTAGAAAACAATCGTCTTCTGGTATATTTATCCCACAACAAAAAATGGTGAACTTGCAATGTGAGTCTGGATAATAAAATAACAAAGTAACAACAAAACTACATATATAACCAAACAATAAGGATGTATTAACAAAACAAGGGTATACATAGACGATAGAAGATTGTTGCATGTTACAAAACAATGAATATGAAAGAAAACATTTAAAGACTAAAGAGTATCTTTGTGTGTGTAGTTTGGTGTAGGAGAAATTTCTAGAGAAAATGAAGTAAAAGTGCGTACGTGCATGCACTCCCCAGTGGTAAACACATTCTCCACATTCAACCTACATCATATTGTCTAAGAGGAAAATAGGAAAAAGAGAATGACAGAGAATGTTACTTTCTATTTATAGGCTTAAGGAGTGTCCCCTAGTGACAGTTTCTTTAGAAATGTAAGTGGGGTAATGCCACAATACTTCCCTCCATATGGAGAGAATTTAATTCTGCACATATGTCCATAAAGTTTGTGTATGTTTATTTTATCCCTTGTAGGCTGAAAAGAAAAAAGCTGAACAGTTTGGTTGTGATGTGTGTTTAAACATGTCAACAAAAATGTACTTGTGTTACATACTGTGTTATCAGGGTGCTATATAATGTAGTATGCTCTGGAAGATACATCAGAAGTGTAGAAAGACAGGTATCAGTCGTTGGTATTAAGATTTTGTTATTTTCCAATGCTCCACATTTGTCTGGAAGGCCTGGTTTCTTTGATGTGCATGGATGTTGTTGGTGTACAAAAATTTTAACCTTTACAACACTGCAGGTGAAAATTGTCACCATAGAATTTTCTCTCTTTGCTACTCTAGGCACATTCTGTTGCCTTGTGATGGTTGCTATAAATAAACACTTGTCAACTGTTAATTCCAGTATTTTAAGCTGGAAATTGCCTACTACTACTTTAAAACAAGGTTCTATTTTCCAACACCACTTTGAATTCTTCTAGACTCTACAACATGTGTAATACCAATTAAACCCACATTAATTTTTTTGTAAACAAAAATGACCGCATCAATATCCAACAAATTCAACAATTCAGGAGTCCTTCTTTGATTAGGACTCCAATGATGATTTTGAAGGCTTTACTCAAGTTGATATTTATGGTGAAGTGGATGATGACCACTAGCGGCTACTATAATCCACGCCTGATTAATTTTATGGAAGCTACTGGTGATCATTGATCTACCTGATAACCTTTCTGCAGGTGAATTATTTTGTCTATTTATAAACGACGAAATAATAACTTTATTGGTCAACGAGACAAATAAATATTCAGTGAAAGTCAGGTGAAAGAAAGAGCAAACAAATGCTAGTGTCTTCTTGTATGTAAACACAAAGAAACGCGTCGCTTGTTTGACAAAATGAAAGCCTTCTTAGCAATTTTGCTTCTTATTGCACCCCTAGAACTCCACAAGGAGTAATAAAAGTTAAAGTACATTAAATTATGTATTTTTTAATGTATATGTTTTTTATTTCGTGTTTCAATTTTTTTTGTTTTCAACATCAAAACATGCATGCAAAACATATTGCATCACATAAAAATATTACTCATTCATTCTTTTATTAGTGTACAAAAATTAAAATCTATATGCACAATACAAAGAAAGTTATAACAATTTTAAAACAGTAGGTGCTCATATTTTTGCACCCTCCCAAAAAAATGTGCAGTGGCAGGGAGATTTCTAGAAAGAAATTAGCATGGTAAAGGTTAATAGAAGCTTCAATTTGTAAAGTTGTTGAGCTGATGTACAACAAGTTGAATACATGTTTGCAAGATCTTTAAGATATCTGTTATTATTGTCGATTTTTCTTGGAGACACAGCTATCTCCATGTATTATTAAATCATACTTGCAGATTTCTTAGTTTGTTCATGTTAAGATCTTTGAAAAGTGATAAAGGTCAGTGAGTCACCTTTGGGATTATTTCAAACTTTATCTGAGCTGTTTAAAGTTGAAAATGGAGTTGACTTCCATGGTGTTTGAATGGTATTTTCTCATGTAAAATGAGCTGTGTTTTGTATGCTTTAAACTAGTATGATGAAAGTCGTATTTTTTGCTTTGGTGAAAAAAAATTTGTGATGTCTGCTAGTTGAGGTAAAGTCAGGTGTAATGGTGTCTAAGTGAAAGAAAAGATCAAACAAAAAGTAGAGATGAGATGTGTGGTGTTTCCCTGCTGACCATGACATCATGGTAGTAATTGCAATGGCAATTAGGGATTTTTTGGTTCGCGTTTGTTGCAAAAAAAATCTATTTGCTGACTTGGAGAACATCTTGTCCAGATAGTTATGTCATGTAGATGTGTTTTAGAGTTTTGAAATTTGTGATTTTGCTCTTTACATCAAGTCTAATCACAAACTGTAAGTTATTTTTGTTGTAAGTTTTACGTGTCTGCTGTACGTCGTAGGGTAGGTAGAGAAGTTGGTCAAAGTTTTTCTTCACTGGCTCTCGGTTTGAAAAGTATCTAAACAATGCATGGATTTGTTTATATAGTTTTGTGTTTCTTGTATCCAGGAGAAAAATATTGTGTTGTGGTTCACCAATATGTTGTAGGTGACATGATAATCTGGATATATGAAAAAAGAAGACTTTTAAACTAGTGACTTGTTTGTGTATATAAGTATGAGAAAATGAAAGGTGTATATGTACATGTACGTATGCATTCCTCAGTGGGAAATGCATTCTCTACATTTTACCATTTAAGAGGAAAAATAGGAAAAAGAGAATGACAGAGAATGTTACTTCTTATTTATAGGCTTAAGGAACAATTCCCTAGTGATGATTTTTTTAGGAAAGTAAATGGGGTAACTCTGCAAGAGTCACATGACATCACCATAAATATTTTATGGTGATGTCATATGGTTATACTGAATTTTAAAAAGTATTTAGATATGAGAAAGACAACATTTTTACATAACCCAGGATTTTGAAAATGGCAAGAAGCATGATTGAAACATCTTGATCACTAACATTTAGGCATTAGCTACTCAGTTGATTCCCTTGTTAGGGTTGTAGAGGCACTACATTTGCTGCAACAGAGGTGGGTCTAGGGCAGTGGTTCTTAACCTTGTTGGAGGTACTGAACCCTGCAAGTTTCATCTGTGCATTCACTGAACCCTTCCTAATTGAAAAAATAAAATATGATTTCTTTAAAACATATGTATATATTTTATTAGTGCACAAATGAACATCAGTTGCACACAAAATCACTATGTTCAAAGAACAAAACCAACAAAACATGACTTTCACATAAAAACATAACTCAATGAATATTTACTGCAAATCAGTTTGACTTTTGCTGTTGCCTGAAGAAAGATAGATTTACACATTTTCAAAGTGCATTAGCACAAAGTAAACAAGACATAATCAAGCAGGAATTGAACTCAACACATTGATTTAACTTTTTGTGCCAATATCCATTGTACCAATTGAGCCTCCTACTTGTCTAAAGAAAAGCTAACTAAAAAATGACTAGTTTTTTTTAATGAAACATGTGTAATTGAAAAGCTACTGCCTAAATGCACACATCTTGCTTGAACATATACTCATAAATTCTCTTTGTACAATTCCTAACAATTTCTCTGATTATTGTTTCTGCTAAAAAGCAAAAAAATGACTTCAATTGTAACCTGTATAAGTGTTATCTGACAATCACATCAAAAATAATTATATCTTTCTTAAATGTTACTTTTTCTCTATAAATGATTTTTAGCCCAGCACAGTGAATCGACTACCCAAATTTGATGTTGACCTGCCTACAGTTCCAAAGCCTCCTAAATTGGCACTACTTCAAAGAGATGTCACCATGACATGTTTGTGAGTATCATTTGGCCTTACTCAAGCAAAAGTTCATCTATCTATCCATGTTATTTTTTCCATCTCGTTAAAAAATTACAACTTTTCCACCTTCCAACCAGTTTTTTCAACAATCTTCTGAAACAAAATGATTGTTATGCCTACTCACCTCTACTGACTTACATAATAATAGCAAGTTGTAATCCTATTGAAAGTGTGCTGGCATATTACATCTGTGTTGATTCATAGCTTGCTCGTTAGTGTGAATGCTGAGAGTGTTGTGAGCAGCATTCTTAAAAGCAGACAGGACTCAACATTTCTTTTCTTATACCTTTCGCTTTACTGACAATGTTCATAATTGATTCTTTTATACTGTATTATATAATGTGTTTAAAATAGGATGTAGAATCCTGTCAAAGTTTTTAAGAAATTTGACAAATGGAAAACGTTTCATTAAATCTAGATTTGCTTATTCATTTTGCCTTTCTAGGCTTCATCAGATCCAAAAACAAAAAGAACTGTGTGTATTTGTGTGTATGCTTAAAAAATGAATCCTAGTAATTTTTCCCTTAGCTGGTGTTTCTTATAATTTCTATATATTTAATTTGATGCAAAAAAGCTGGAGTAAATATACTAGCAAATTTTGACATGAATTAAGAATTGTAAAGAAAAAATACAGAATAAATATTAACAGCTTTTTTAAAAGTCACTCATTTTCTTTTTTTTTAATCACAAGAAATGCCAGTTTAGGGAAAAAACACTATGATTCATTATTTAAACATACGCACAAATACACAGACACACATTTCTTTAGTTTTTGGATTTGATGAAGCCTTGAATGGCAAAATGTGTAATTGAGTTTCAATGAAATGTTTTCCATTTGTCATATATATATATATATATATATATATATATATATATATATATATATATATATTTGAGGGAAATTTATTTCATGAGCTGCATGTGATGCTTTGAGCCCCTTCACAGAGAGTGGCTTTTTTATTTTTATTTTTGCTTTTTTAGTGTTCACATCCTGAGGACAAGTTTTGGTGTAGAATGAATCAAAAGGAGATGTAGTTTGAAGCAGAGTATAATAATAGTAAGCACCTGATGAAAGCCAGAGGTCACTATAGTCGAAAGGTTGTGCAAATAACAACAAAAATGAGGCTAATATTTTGCATGTAAATAGTAATAACACCTCATTCAGGGTTGCATAGACCAGTTGTATTTCTATGCTCTTTGATATTAAAAATTTTTCAAGTGATGAATTATTATTATTATTTACATTGATTTACTCAGACTAGAATTCCCATCTTGGTTAATGTCACAATAACTTATTGAGCTCAAAATTCCTATAAAGGTACCAACTAAAAACAGAGACCTGAAAAAGTCTGGAAGTTACAATAGCTGAAACATTGTGATGATAACAAGGTAGTAGTTAGGGTAAATAGGTATAATAAATCAATGTATATATAAATATATATATATATATATATATATATATATATATATATATGAGGCACAGTGAAGTAGTGGGTAGCTGCTTGTATTGAGGAATTGGAGAGCCGAGTTTGAATTCCAGTTGAATCCATTACATTCATTTATGTGCTAATACCTTTGGGAAAGGTATTAATCCTCTTCTTCTCCCTCCAGCTATGGGTAAATAGCAGGACAACTCTGAATTTAAAACCTGCAGAGGGCCATCCGTTTGAGGACCTTGTGGCATGTAGTGTACCAGGTCTCTGTATTCAGCCCTTCAAAAAGTGTGGGTGGTTCTGCACAAAGCCTTTACCACTATAGTCAAATGGTGTCTGGGTTGTCGGTTGGAACAGTTTAAATTTAAAATCAGCCCACCTGAAAATCAATATTAGTATATATAGTCTTACAAACTGATCTAATAAACTTAACTGAAGAGCTGGATATAACAACAAATAATTAATACAATTTCTTTTTACTGTTCAGATATGGTGTAGTTTATATAATTGTGTTGCGTCATCAACCTAGGGGAGGTACAACTGGTGCAGAAATTGTCTTATACCAACTCCAAAAGTAAGTACATTCTTTACATTTACTCTGTTTGTCATCTATTATATATACAGTGGTCTCTTGATTAATGCAATTTTTCTTTAATATAGCTCTCTATATAGTTTCTTTTTAATAGATATTAAAAACTAGTGCACATCTAAAGTTTAGTTTCATATGCTTGTATGAAGTATACTAGAGTTCCATATATTACTTTCTCCTGCCTTTTTTTTAACCAATTCACCCCAAACAATGTGTTAATGCCACTAAGATGCAAGGGTCTACTGGGAGTGAAAAGAATTTTCGAAGAAACCAGAAACTCAATCCTAAACAGTAAACGGGGATAAACTTCTGCTCCTGTTAAAAAATTGGAGAGGTGTGTGAATTGGAAGATAGGTGAAACTATCTATTCTTATTGAGGAAAAAATAAATAGTAAATAAAATTTCAGAGTTTATGTGGAGACGTTAGAAGCATAGAGTTGAAGTAGACCTTAGAAGGAGCCAGAAACCCAATCCTGAACAGAAAACAATGGATAAACATGTACTCCTGTTCAAAAGACTGGGGAGGAGTGTGAATAAGACAATTATGTAATTGTGTTGTATAAAATTGAGGTATATAGTAATGTTTACACATACACTATGAACTGTCAGCACTTGTAGCTCCATAATACTGTAATATTAAATGTAAATAATGGGGGCATTTGAGAATAGAACAGATTATGGGTTGTTCTTGCTCTTGATACCATTTAACCCAGTACATTGTCACATATTATTTAAAGAGAACATGAGCATTGCCAAGGGAAATGTTCATGTACAAATAGAGGTGATTATAGGCCATCAAATATGATACTTAAAATTGATTTGCTTGTCATGTTTTCTTTATTATTTTTATAAACTTACAAGATACTGTAAAAATACCTTAATGGTTGTATTCAAAATTTGTTTGTGTGAGCTTTTCTTTTTTTTGTCATTCTAGGGAGAGTCCAGCTAAGAAAACGGATATACTTCGATTGGATATGAGTGGACGTTTTGCTGTTAATGTAGTTGATAACCTTCTCATAGTCCATCATCAGGCTTCTCGTGTAAGCATTAAAAATGGTTGATTTTTAAGGGTGTGAATTGGACTAAAAAAACTAAATTACCAATTTCATAGAAAAATCAAAGTAAGAAAAATTGGTTAACTTTTCAATACTGAAACGTGGTCTCTTATTTTTTTTTTCACTTCTAAACTTCAATATTGGGTTTCTTTTTCAATACTGAGCTTCAGCATTGGGCTAATTTCTTTTTTTCTTTTTCTTTTTTCAATACTGAGCTTCAGCATTGGGCTAATTTCTTTTTTTCTTTTTCTTTTTTCAATACTGAGCTTCAGCATTGGGCTCATTTTAGTACTGAACATCAGCGTTCAGTTCATTTTTCAATAATAAACTTCATTTTTGACCAAATGAAATCTAATTTTGCATAAATTAAATCAACTGTTATACTGCAAAACTACTTCTTGATTATATGTGAAATTTTATTTTATACTAATGTTCACCAAATACAAGGCCCAAGAGCCACTCAAGGTAGAGGTCACTGTGATGTTGTATGAGCACAAGAAAGGAAAGTTACTGGGACTAAGCAGGAAACATAACGGCTAACTCTAGATTTGAAGAGGTCAAGATTGTAGTGACACAAACACACACACATTCTATATCAGTTTTTACTATGCAAGTTTATTTCACAATAAAGTTTCACAAGTTCCTGTCTGATCACCATTAAGCAATGTTGGGCCTGATCATTACTTACATGAGTGACTGCTTGGGAATACCAGGTGCTGTAAGCTTAGATGTGCTGTGATAGATAATGGCTCAGAATGAGAAATTTGAGAGCCTAGTTCAAATTCCAGTTGACTTCATTATATTCAATCTCCCCTCAAGCTATAGGTTAAATAGTAGGGCAGAATGAATCCTATAGCCTAGGTTAGTAACCAGGCCACTGCAAAAAGTAACAGCAACCTACTGCGAGAATTCTTCTTCCAAGTTAGTCATGAATCGAAGAGAGACATGATTGCTCAAGCGTGCATCACACGACACCTAAAGAAGGATACTACATGAATTTCAGCTTATAATATCTGTTTTTTTATCCGAAATATTTTCAATCAATTATTTGGTGCTGTAATATTTTGCTATACAACTCAAGGGTTGTTCATGATAAATTTATATAATAGCATTTATTGTTTTGTAATTTCAGATATATAAAGATTGGCATGAGTCATAAGAAATGTATAACGAAAAACAAGATATTGTTAAGTTATTGAGTATTGGGAACAGGTATATAATGATTGGTATGGATTGTAAAAAAGATATAACCTCAAAAGAGAAACAAGATATTGTAAAGTCACTGAGTGATAGGAATACAAAATTAGAAATTGTGATAAAGTTGAGCAGAGATTAAAAAAGAAATTGAAGACATTAGCAAAGTAAGAATTGTGCAATTGTGAGTTCAATTTTATGGGTATTGCAGACTCACACTTGATACAAACCGAATTAATTACAACTGAGCAGTACTAAAAAAGAATAGAGACATGGACGACAGTATGAGAGCAATCCTTGTAGGTTAAAACTAGTGTTCAGTTTGAATTTCCTTGAAGGTTATCAGCATTGATAAACACCTGAAGTTCAAATGTGATAATAATGAAGATGTGGATATTAGTCTAACAGTAACTAATTAATAACTCTTCTTCCCAGAAATTCAAGCAGAAACTCAATCTTATTGATCACTTGATTATATCAAAGCATGTTTTTTGTTCCAGACTTATTTTCATTGTTTTAAACATTTTCTAATTGTAGAAATTAAACAGAAAAAAATTCATTCTGTCATTTCATTTGACCTTAATTTTTTTTTTTTTTTCCCATCCAGACATCTATGATATTCGACATCAAACTTGGTGGAGAATTTGATAATTATGTTGTGTGTCACCATCCTGTACTGTCTCCTCTGCCTATTAGACCTTTCCGTCTGTTACTGCCTCCAGGTAAGAAGACATGTAATCTCTGAATTTGGTAACTTTGTTATAGTACTTCAATTCATACTTTTTTTTCTCATAATTGGACACCTTGAGTAGACAAGTGGTGGATAGATTTTAATGTCAAAAGCCCTCATCTTTCACCCATCTTTGAGATCAAAGATACCCAAGGACAAAGGTGATACTGACTCCTGAAATTGTCTTAATGATCAGGTAAAGTAGAGTTTACATTGAAAACTGATCACTTCACATTTGGAGATTACAATATACATAAAACCATTTTCATGCTTTTTGCATATAAAATTAAGGGATGATAGAACAAGAAAATTAAATTATTGTTATACTATATCTATGGACTATAATGGGTATGTCCCCAATCTGTATAAATACAGTAGACTATAATGTATGTGGTAGTCATCGGTATTCCTTTATGATTCACTTCTAGCTTGCCACTAGCAGTTGATTACTTAGTACATGCCACTGGCAAATCTTGTATGTTGTTCCTGTTATAAATTGTTGTCGTTCCATTTCCAACCTTCATTTTGGTTATTCTTATTCAGTAACCTTTTCCTAGGTTGAAGCAATTATCTGCTATAAAAAACTTAAAATAGCTAATCCTATCAACAGCAACAACTTAACTGCAGAATCCAAATTACAGAAAACCAATATTATTTATGAATTCACATGTCCCTTAATGAACTGTTATGCGAGAACTACCAACCTTCCAATAGTAGCACTCACTACTGGATTGACTTGCAATGACCTTGTGCATAACTGTTACCTTTATTCTTATTGTACTGGTTTTTACAATAAACCTTTACTTATTTTATTCAATGTGTTGTTCAAGTATATATATATATATATATATATATATATATATTCCTATTAGTACGGAATATAACAATATTAAATTATGTATTTTATACCAAATTCATTTTTATTTTTCAGCACCTAGTCTACCAGTTGGAAGTGAGAAGACAGAATTTACTTTTGAATTGTGTATCCTTCCTTTTGAAATTTTATAGAGACATGGACAAAAATACAGTCTTTTGTCTAAATTGCTAACATTTGTAGAAAGACAAACACATAGTTTACTTTGTATAATTATATAATTATGAGATACAGAATAGAGAATAAGTTCCAAATGAAATTTGAACTCTCCCTTTTTCAAGATGCTTGCATCTGATGTAGGCTCTCCCATGGATAAAGGGACTGCAAATGATGCCCTGGGTTTGAGCCATTCCTACTCCTAGAGAAACAGTAAAGTAGTTAAAATTCAGAACCTTAATTCACTGTACACACACAGGTTGGACTTTAAATTAGTATGAGAAATTTTAGTGGGTTTTTTTTGTTTTGTTTTTTTTTTATGAAAAACACATTAAGAAATACTTGCAAAAATCAAATAATTGTTCGATTTTAATGAAACTGTCAGGACTTCTTCACAAATGAATGAAATTAATTTTGAAAATATTTTTTAGAAACTCTTGGTAAAAATGTTTTTACATCTTACCAACTTATCTAATTTTATGAAATTTCAAGAAATTAATTTTGCTACAGCTTAATATTTATATTAGTTATAAACAGAAGTCCTTGAAGAATTTAACTCATCAATTTTTTTTTTGTAAAACCAGACCACCACTTAGTGAAAATCTGTTCTGAATTGTAAAATAAAAATGCAATAAAACTAAGATATTATTTGATTAGAAAAGCTTTAAATTGCTTTTATGAATAAGATATATGATGGACATTATTGTCTTAAGAAAACATTTTTTTCAATGAATAATGAATATTTACAAGAATTTTTTCATTTTTTTAAAATTTTAATTAGAATAATTTGTAAAGTTTTAAATCTTTTAAAATTCTGTATTAAGTTAACAAGGTTAGGTGATATTGTTATTAAGTAAAAACTATATTAACCAATCATAAATGGAAAAGCTTACTACAATTCAACAACACCCTCCATTTTAAAAAGAATTTTGAATTTTTTTGTGTATGTATAAACTTGCCAATCTTTGTAAATATGGACGTCCATAGAAAATAAGAGCAGTAACTATAGTAAATTTTAAATCAAAGTATATAAAATTCAATAAAATATTAGATTATTTAAAATATTTTACTAAAATTTAGTTAAAAAACCATATAAAAAGGCACTCGTATTATATTCAAGTACTTTTTACAGATGTCTCCTGTAGAAAAAAATCCCTAACATGAATCTATTGAAATAGTTGTCAAAACCTCATAAAACACCCACCTCCATATTTCAAAATGCTTTAATATTTTAAGCTAAAAGTAATATCTGTTCCAAATCCTATTAATTAAACTTTAAATCTTCCTCAAATAAAGTTTGAGAAAAGTATAATATAGTCTCTTTAATAAAGAGAATTATGTTGTGCTTACAGATTTGTAAATATGGCTAAAAATGGCTAAAATCAGACATTTTTAGCAATTTTAAAAAAATCATTTTGAAATACAGCAAAGTATTTTGCTTATTGAAAATATTAAATTTAATCTATTAGCTTGAAATTAAAACTAAAATAAAATCTTTAAGAAATTTTTTTTGTTTTTTTTGAAAGATTTTTTAAACCTAGATTCATTTTCTTTGGTAAGGTATTGTGTTTATATATATATATATATATATATATATATATATATATATATATATATATATATCTCCAGTCTAAAGTAAAAAAACATTAAATGGCAAATATTGTTCAGTATAGTGCACTTAATTTAGTGAATATTAATCACATTGATCAAGCATTATACAGTTATAATTTCAGATCAACATTCACCAAATAACTGTCAAGCTAAAGACCTTTTTGATCCATCTTTTATATATTAGAGAAAGAGCTAATATAAAAGTTGATTTGAATTTTATTTTTTGAAATGTTTAAGATTTCATTTTAATAAATTTTTCTTAATCACCAAACAGATTCTGATAATTGGATTGTCTTCCAACCTGACATCATTATTGATGCCAAGTTGGGTAAGTAATTACTGCTGATGAGGATTGCTTCCTATATCTAAGAAAATATATTTCATTTATTTCTGCAAAAGATCTGAAATTAGTAAAAATATTTACTGAAGAATTTTATACAAATACAGGTCCCTGCTATTCTAAATGTAGTTTTCTTATGTAACCTTTTCTAAGTCAAAATGGTGTAAAATGAAGGAGAAATTACTATTAATTTATATGTAAAAAAAATTAGTGTTTGCAGACTAAAAAAAAAGAAAACAAACCTTGCATGAAATTTTTACTATGTTTGACACTTCTACTTCTACAATGATTGCAAAAACAAAAAGTCTTAAATTTTAAAAGAACACATACACTTCAGAATAGACTTGCTTGGCAATTTAAATTTTGATTTTTTTTTTTTCATAACCTATCCAGTAATTCCAGACTCTGTTTATTTTACACTTTTTCTTACAAATGATCTGTTTACTCCTTCTTTTTTCTGTTCTGAAAAAATTTTTTTTCAATGGATTCTCCAACTTACCCTTTTGTTGTGAACTGAGTAGGTTTACTACAAGTTTTGAGTGTTTACAAAGAATTGCATGATAGAAAAATGTCTAAGTCTGGGCAGTGAAATCTATTGTCAAACTTTCTACATCATCCACAGCAGGCAATGAACCTTGACCTTCATTGTGAAAGCAGGCAGACAGACCAGTCTTGTGTTCACCTTTCATATAAGTGGTATAAAGCAAACTTTTGAAAAGTGAAGCCTGTATATGTATTTTTTCTTTATATTTTCATCTAATGTTTATTTTTCTAATTACCAAACGAGAAGCCTAATTACCATATTTGATGCCATAATAGATCCACAAGTATATTTTGCTGGTTTATGGCCACATCATGTTGAAACCCTGGCTCCTGTATAATAAACAAAGTTAAGCAACATCAAACCTGGTTAGAACCTAGATGGGTGACTGCTTGGGGAATACTAGGTGCTGTAAAATTGGAAGTGTGATGAATAATGGCTTGGAATTGTTAATTGGAGAACCAAGTTCCAATTCTCATTGGGTTTGTTATATTCATTTATGTACTCTTGGGAAAGGTATGAATCCACTTTTTCTACCTCAAATATGGGTTAATTAGTAAAACTTGTATCACTAAAGCATTATTATCTCAAAAAAATAATTCTTACAATCTAAAAATATTTTCTGACTTAAAATAACCTGGAAAGGGTTGATAACCTGTAGAAAACAAATCACTCAATCAATATATTTTGCTACAATAATTCCTTTTACAATTTTGATAATAATAAGCTTTCTAAAGTAAATGATATTATGGAGTCTAAGTGGAAATGACTATCTGAGGTAAAATTATAGTCAATAGTAATAAGCATAAAGGATAAAATTAGCATATGAGAGAGACCTCAATTTTGATTTATGACATGTGTTGTTTTTGTTTTTTTTTTGTTAGTCATTTATTTTGAAAAGTTTAGCCTATATGCAGTCAGATATTGTAGGTTTGTTATATTTTATGATCAGGTGAAAAAATCTGTATATGCAATTTAGATTTTGCAAATCTAAAGTCAAAAATAAAATTTAACCAAATATTTAAAATGTAATGTGTATCCATATATTCATCTGTTATTCCATGTTACCATTTGCTCATTTTTATGCAAAAGAGTCTGTTGCATAAAAATGAGCAAATGCTTCTGATTCATTATAGAATACTATATCATGTTTATATTAGAACTCTTAAACTGTGATTGGCTCTATGAATAAAATTAAGATATATTTAAACATATGCAGATACTAAAAATTAGTTTTAACTATTTGTTATCATTGATAGCATGGGAACAACACAAAGGATCAGTTATTATTATTTCATTTTGCTTTTGGTTTAATATTCAGAATGTATTGAACATAAAAATGACATGCAAAGTTATAGGAAGATTTTGATATTATATAAGTACAGTGCTATAATTACTTAATAATTATAATATAAATTAATTATTACTAAAATATGCCATCAGTTTTTTTTTTTTTTTTTACATTAAACATAAACTAGTTTAAAATATCAACATAATGAAATTGTACATTCTTTTTTTTAGGAAGCCTGTGGTATGTTCAACTGTGTCTTGAACCTTTGGTAGAAATGATTCCTGATAAAGTGAGTATTATATTTCTCTCTCTCTCTCTCTTCTTTTTTTTTTTTTTTTTTATGTTCACCCTGTAGAGCTACTCGAGGTAGAGGGTTACAGAGTGTTGTGTCAGAAACCTACCACCCCTCTTGAAGATGAACTTGTCTGCGTCTGTGAACAAAGACTTTAAATAGTGGCATGTCAGTTGACATGGGGAAGAGAGATAGTTAGACAGAGAAGTTCTTAGCTGAGCTAGTTATTGACTACTCAGGCGATTTCTGTACCTTTTTACCAACCTATTAAAACCCTTTTTTATTGTTACGTGTTATTTGGCGTTTGTCTCTACTAACCCCAAATCAACATCCTAACACGGAGCAAGAGGTAAGAGGCACAGTTTATGGGTATATGTGAGGAAGATATGAGCACTTTGACATAGTGTAATGGTTAGCAAGCTTATCTTGCTCAATCTGTTATGATAGTTTGATCTTCACTTGGGGGCTCCTTAATCTCGGCCTTGTGCCACATCTGCACTATGCTTAGTAAATCACTATGTTGGGGAAGATGAAGGCATAC